TCCGTTTTTTTACAAGGGGCGGACGGCAAGTTAGTTAAAGGAGAACTATGAGGTGAGTGCTTTTCACAATGATACTGTCACAGGTCGGCTCAGTAGATCGGGAGGTGAGCGAACACATACCGGCGTTCGCTCACCTCTCGATCCTGTCACGGCTCTCTGCCGCAACAGGGGAGGGACTGGATTTCCCCCTCCCCGCTCCGATCTGCCAGCGCTGACTGGCGGAACGGACGGGGGAGGGGGCGGGTACAGCTGGCTCTGCCTCTAGATAGGTAGAGCAAGCTGTCAGTCACGCAGCTGGGCGGATCCCGGCATAATTGTCTGGATCCGCTTCAGCTGCAGCGTTTTAGTATACCGCGAGCAGCAGCTTGCGGTATACTCCGGCGTCTCACACGGTATACTGAGCCTAGGGTGACGGGAGGACGCTAGTTTGTGTCCTCCCGTTACCCTAAGGAGAACTATGGGGAAAAGCCTTAACCCCATAGTTCTCCTTTAATGTATCCTCCATACTTGGGGCTTTTTGTCTGCACAGGCTATTTTTTATTTTTTTAAAGGTGAACTAACCATTTAAATACAAACGGGTAGACCCCCCCTTGTACAGCTAATTGTTGGTAAATCTAAAAGAAGGTGGTATGATTGATGAATTATGTGGCCAGCCTAAAGAGACCCTGTCACCAGACAAGTCATTTTAACCACAATCTACGAACCTTTTAAATGGAATGCATTGTTTTGCAAGGCCCTGCCGTCACTTGGTTATTGGTACCTCTACTGTAAAAGGATATTTTACAGGGATTGCATTAGAGCTGCAGCTAACGATTATTTTCAAAATCGATTATGTCGATTAGTTGTTGCAGCCCTAGAGTGCATGATCAGGTTGTAACACGGCATAGACAGATGTACACGTGTATCTAAAATATTAAAGTTGAGGAAAAAAAATATTTATTTTTTTTGGATAGTGTGGGGAGCACGGTCAGTACTTCAGGCTTTATAAGGACTGTCATTCCGCTTTTAATGCTTCCATTTCTATTATGTAGGCTAGAAAACTCACAGCTTCCTTTTCCCCCCCTGTGCGCTGTATTACGATGGCCCATTAATTCCTGTGAGGTCGTTTCATCTCAGTCTCTGCGCTGTAATTAAGAAATATCTTTTGGTGCGCAGCTTGTCTCTCACTGATATAATGCTGCGAATCCCTGTGGTCTACCAGAGCTGTTTCTCTGGTAGTTTGTTGTTTATTGGCTGTGATCGCTTTGATTCATTGAGTAAACAGTGATTTCCCATAACGTCTTCCAGGACAGCATCACAAGATGGAATCTCCTCCTGCTGTCCTGGAAGACTAATGGAAATAGAGTTACCGGTAAGTCCTAACTCTGAATTTCTGAGTGCAGAAATTTACAGAGGGTTCAGCGTGCTCTAATTCACAGTGTAATTACTGGCATGGCTCACGTAAATTATTCACGTATGCTAGGAACATTTCAAGTTACCAGACTTACATGCTTATTCAGTAATGTGAGAAGCAGTGGTGCGCAAAGTGCACCCAGTCATAACAACCAATCACATTTCAGGTTATTGTTTTCTAATAACTTAAAGTGAAACTCTGGCTTTGCTTCGCTAACTGTATGTATAGGTCCTAGCAGTGCTATGTGTCTCACACTAATGGATATGTTGTATTTGCTTCTCTTTTCTCTCAATGACAGGAATACAAAGTACAGGCTAAACAATGGCAGAAACAGAGATTGCTTTATCAGAATAATTTAAATGCATTAACCGAGAAGACCAATGCCCTGCAAGAAAAATGTGACTTTTTCCAGGTATGTATTCTACTTATATTCATTCTGCCGGGTACAGGCCAGATGAGCTGCACTGACGGAACTGTTTTAATGTTAGATAAGTGGGTCATGTGTGTACTTGCAGTTAAGGCCATGTAGCTCTTTCACAAATAAAGCTGGGTATATTCACAGTAATTACCAGTATCTAGTATGAGAATCTTCAAGAGATTCTGACCATGGAATTCACCAAAGTAAAAGGAACAGCCCATCCATAAACAAGAGCAGTTAGTCCATCTGGCCTTTTTTTTGGGGGGACGATTTGTTGTGTTTACTTTGCACATGCTCACAATAATGGGACAAGGTCCTTTGGCACCCTAAGGCCACGATGCCAAAGTACACCCATTCAATGCCCTCCTGCAGCTGAGACGGATTGTGCTTGCATGTCTGCACCTACGAAGGCTGTTGCCTTGTGCAGAAATGACAGGCAGTGTCTGCCAGCTTTAGGGTTGCCACCCTTTAGTCCATGGAAAATGGAAGGGGCTGGGGGGATTGTGATTTAATAAGTAGTCTGACAATATAAAGTTAAAAGAACACACACACTTCTGCCTCCAGGCGCTTCACCTAGGTGAGGGTGATGTCACACAGCCTCCTGTTATGGAGTGTGGAAGGGTAAGAGCCTATGTTAAGCTTTAATGGCTGTCTGCAGTGGACAGATTGCAAACTCTAAGCCACTGCCTTACAATTAGCAGCAGCAATGTCAGCCTGTCTTGACAGCTCCATGATCTGACAATTGGGCTACCAGTCCACTAGATCTGATAAGCAGACTTAAAGCCCAAGATGCATTGGGGTGCCATCAGAATGAAAGCTACAGCATACCATGATATTTTAGGCCATTGTGTGCTTGCAACCTTGTGGCAAAATGTGTGGGGGAGTACCTTTTTTATCAGTATGACTATACCCTTGTGCACAAAGCCAGCTTCCATAAAGGTAAGTTTTAATGAACTGGTTGTGAAGAAGTCAGCAGCCTGCACACAGACCTGACCTCTACCCCACGGAACCTCACTGGAATGAATTGGAACATCCACGACAGTGCCTGACCTCACCAATGCTCTTTTGGCTGAATGGGCACAAATTACTACAGATATCCCTGAAAATCTTGTATAAAACCTTCCTAGCAGAGTAGAGGCCGTTATAGCTGCAAAGGGGGGCCAACTCCACGTTGATGCCCATGATTTTGGACTTGGATGTCTAACAAGCTCATATGGGTGTGATGGTCAGTTGTCTACAAATTATTTTACCATATAGTGTACATCCAGTACCTTTTAATCAGGATACGGTATTTTTCTTCATGGTCTATCAACTGCATTGGTTCATGTTTCATTTTAAGAGTGGAATCTTTATTTTCAAGAGTACTACAATGGCCTTCCTCAGTCACAGCATTGCTGTGGAACTGGAGCTCTTGCATATATGTACAGTGAACATTCTCGGCTTCCACCTCAGGATGTCTATGTGACTGAAGTGGTTAAATAATAATGTGGGCATTGCATTACACACTAACTGACACCTTTTCAATTCTTTCATGAAACAAATGAAATTGGATTTATTTAATGCTATATTTAATTTTATCTTTGCTTGGAGCATTGCCAGTATAAAATGAGATTTGTGGACATGGAGATACATGAGCATTAGCACTTAGTGAAAATTGTTTTCCTCTGTCTAAGCAAGGTCATCAATGTACACTCCATCAAAAAGTAGAAGGTTTACATCTGAAGAGCACCTGTGCTGTAGTAATAAAGATATGAAGGAGGAGGGTAGGGGAGACAGACAATTTTACTTTGATATTTGTTTTTTTGTTAAATGATCACATTTATTTCATAGCGTTCTGCAGCCTTACACATTTGGATTTAGGCATATAACAAGAGAAACCCAAGTCAATCAACATTGGGGAGATTGACCTTCACTTTGAGATCTATCTCCTAACCATCTCTTTCGGTTACCGAAACATTTCGGCCGAAAATGGCACTTTTGGCAAATTGCTGAACGTGCCATGACGGCAGGAAATTCAGTGTATCCCAGCTTCTTTCCTCCCCGCTGGGCGCTGGTCTGTGTGCCTTCCGATGCAGCGCCAGAGTCACTCTTCTGCGTCATGCATGCTACTGGTGACCCATCAATGCAATGAATGGCCTCATTGCATGGGGCAGAAGGGGCAGAACCAGGTCTGGCAATCATTTTTGCTTGTTGATAATTGTATCACAGAGCAGCCCAGGTTTTCGGTTTTGAGCAACGTGGAGAGCAGAGTCAGCTTGAAGACAGCTATAAATTGTCTGCTCTTCAACAAATGAAACTTTATACAATTTTGCTCCACACACACACGTACACTCTAATTCACTTTTGTGTAGACTGTCTCTCAGTGTCTTGTCTCCCCTCATCTGCAGAACCTTCTCCAATAAATATTCCAAGCTGCTGAGCAGAAGCAGCGGGCTTTTCGCGGTTTTATTTGTCTAATTGGTGCTCAGAGTCTCGTTATTTTGCCCACAACAAAGAATTCTGTGTGTAATTGTGATCTGAGTGTTGTTTTTTTCTCTCTCTCCTGGCGGTGCAGAAGCAGTCGCAGAGCTATCGGGAACAGCTTTCGAGCAGGACACAGCTGCAGGATGAGCTCATTACCAATAACCAAATTGAAATCCGAAGATTGAGGTGCCAGCTTGATGCCTCGCAGGAGACGATCCGAAGTGACGGGGTCATCATTGAAAACCTCAAGTCTGCTGTAAAAGAAATCACATTAAGCAGGAACTTGCTGAAAGAGGAAAATCAGCAGCTTTTGCAGGAACTGAGGAACTATCAGTTGCACTGCCAGGTAATGCAGTGATAGAACACATCATCTGTCAGCAATACATCTGATCAAATCATAATGAGCCATGTATATGGTCTGACGCAGAGGTCATCAAGTAAATTTACAGCAGTGTAACTCTTAGGCCAGCCATAGAATACCTGAGAGATAGGTTAAGGGTTTGTTCCTTTTCCTTCATTTAACAGGGAACAATCTATGTTTGGTTGCACAGATTTTTCGATATACTGTGGCATGTTTTGGTTCTATGTGTATAGACATTTGAAGTAACCATTGTATCCATGGCTCATTGTTAAAATGCAAGTTGATATCCTCTACTGGACACCCAGAATAATTTTGTTGTCAGCCCCCCCTTTTTATGTTCCTTCCCCATAAAAATCTAAAATATTGCACCCAGCAATAGAAAACTGTAAATACTATACTATACTAATACTCAACTGAACTCTGCTGTCTTTAAGCCTCTGGCAAAGTCTTTAGCATTCCATACTTCTGCAAGTGTCACATGCCTGCATTACCAGTTCTTATGTCACTACATGGCACAGTAGTGAGGTAGGGGCCGGCAGAAGGAGCCATTGAGCATATTGGGGAATGCAGGCAGTCAACACTTCCAGAAGTGTTGAATACTGAAGTGACTTTTACAGCTCACATGAACTTCAGGAACATAACCCGGCATTTTATAGCCACACTAGTCACCTTTCTCCAACCACCATGGTGTCAAATGTGTGATGTTCTTGGACAATCAGCATTTGCATTGACACGTTTCATGACGCCATGGTGACTGAATTAACCATAAGGCCCCCCCCATACACACCGAATCCGTAAGCATCCATTTTTCAACGGAAGGTAACCCAAAAATGTATGTCTGTGAATCAGACCAGTTCACACTGTTGCGTTCCATTGCAGTGTGATGGGGAGGAAACAAAAAGTAAAGCATGTTCTACTTTTTTCAGCGCAATGTAATGTGTCAAAAACAGATGTCAACGGAACGGAAATGAGAGAAAAAAAATACATAGAAGTCTGTCCACTCAGGATATGTTAAATAAAGAATGGGGGCAAAAAAAAAAAAGGAATGTAACGGAAGTCAACAGAGGTTAAAATTGCAGACCTCCGTTGACTTGTGTTTCCGGTCCGATTTTAGTGTGAACGCGCAATAAATCTACCTGTGTATATAGTTTTTATTTTTTTTAGGAAACTATTTTGTAAATGTGTTGCCTAGTTGACAGGCACCTCGACAGCCAACTGAAGGATGACAACACTGCCGCTAATTCAGTCAGTGGCTTAGGGTTGTCATCCTGCAACAGATGGTGCTGTTACTGCCAGAATCTTCAGGTAAGAATATTTGCAAATCATTCACAAAAGAACTATTTGTATAGAGCTAAGGTGACCATACACTGCAAATTTCAGCCAGTTCTTGCAGAACCAGCCAAAATTCGCACAGTGGCTGCCCCTGTCAGCACACTTTCGACCGGCATCCCTCTATCAGCCGGTCAGAAAATCTTCATAGGGCCAGCTTTAGACATGATGCCAAAAATATTGAAAAAAGGTTTTTCAATATTTCAATATAAAAGGTGACGAATTTGCTCATGTGGCTATAAATGCAGCGGTATGTTTCCAATTTGAACTGTGAAAGCCACTTGTATAAATGGTAAAATATCTTCAACATTACAAAACAAGTCCACTTGAATGTGACTACTACTATCTGGAAAGGTCGTTTTATATGTAATGGTTTAACAGATGTACCAGTTAGTCACTGACATCTGTATTTTTTGGCACTGCAGAAAATGCAACGTGAACTCTCTGAAGCTAAAATTGAACTTCAGGCACATGAGGCCCTCGTGAGAGCAGCAGAGCTAGATCAAAGACCGATAAACCTGGATGTGGCTCGCTATCAGAACTCCCAGGGAAGTCCGTTCAGGTATGGCTTATTATTATTATTGGTAGTAGTATTTATATAGCGCTGACAATTTTATGCAGTGCTTTACACAGTGCACATTCACATCAGTCCCTGCCTTCAAGGAGCTTACAATCTCTAAGGTCCCTATCTCACATACATGCATACAGGGCTGATTTACATAGGAGCCAATTTACCTACCATTTATCTTTAAAAAAATATTTGATGAAATCTGGGATAAAGTGAACCTGGCAGTCATTTAGAACTTTTAAAGAAAATGTGTTATGAAAGAAACCTGTAAGCTGCTGCTTTTTTATGTTGTTGGGGTTTTAGAGTGATACGGATGTTTTAAATACTGTTATATGGATTTTAAAGCTGCCTTGGAGTTGGTTGTTGCTAAACTGAGTTTTGCTGTGTCTTGTATGCAACGATAAGAAAGTATCTGATCTGTTGGAGGTACAAGGTAGTAGAAGCAACTGGTTGCTAAATATCACACAGCTTTGCCTATTAGATTTGGTTATAGAAGAGATGGGGTGGGTGCTATAGTTAGGTTAGGATTACATTGCTGTTTAGCGCAGCTTCAATAAAGTACTGCTAAAGCTGGCCGTATACTGTTCACATTTAACCGCAGGAGGCTCCGCCGGCACCTCCAGCTCGACAAACTTGAATCGAAAAATCAAAGGAGCCTTGATGTGTAATGCGGTCTGCGAGTTTGGGGCGTCCTCTCCGTGTCTTGTTTCTCTTCTTTTCTCCTCTCTCTTGTCTGTGATCCATTTCTCTTGTGCTACCTCTTCTGGATTTCCTTTTTCCTTCTGGTTTTTCCTTGTTTCCGTAGTTGCCGGACTGCTGAGGCTTTTTTCTCTGGCTGAACAATTCCCTACTCCCCTCCTTTTTTTTTGTTTTGTTTGCACATGTTGAGAGTTGTCCCTCTCATGCTCCTCGTACTGTGTTTATTTTAGACATGGGCCAGATCTTTTCATGGGGCTCATGGTCCCCCTTGGCTCGGACCTTTCCTTTGAGACTCTATGGTGTATGGTGCTGCCCTGGGGTAGCTTTGGGGTGCACTCCTCTTCACCTTTTACGCACTGTGACCTATGCCTTGTTCCATTCTTGAATATTACTTGTGGTACTATGCTTGTCCCTGACATCTCTTCTTTGTTACGCAGACATGTTGCAGGCTCTTTTCTTTACTTTTGTACTATTATATTATCTTGCATTTTGTTCCATTATTCCCTGAAACCAATAAAATTCTTGTAAAAGAAAAATCAAAGGAGCCAGGCAGAAAATCCTCAGCTGAACAATAACTGCAGTCATTGTTTGTTTGGGTTTTTTGACAGCGATGGGGCATCGGCTGTCGGAATACAATAGCTGGCAGGTGAGATTCCTCCATCCCTGCTCTTCTCTTGTTCAGCCTGCAGGTTATACATGTATGGCCAGCTCAGGGTCAATGATTAGGCATTATAACCCACTACAAACCTTCATTAGTTTAGGCCAATCCAAACAATGCAACTATGAATTCGGTGCACTTAAACGTTGCTGTTTTGCCTTCGGTAAGAAACTTTTTTTTTTTCCCCTGTCCAAATATCCAGCTGTGAGCAAATCAGTTTTGGAGTTTTACCCTTATGAGCAATAGATGGTAGTTTTTCTAGAAGTGATTCAATTAAACATTTGCTTGTTATGGGGAATGCAGACATTAATGGTTCTCTCAGCTGGGTGTATTTAACAAGGTGGAGAGCGGAGTGCAGTGACCCGGGCAACAAATCAGACCGCACCTTTAATTAGTTGTCAGTACAATGATGTGTAATTGATGATTAGTTGCTATGGTGTACTGCACTTTCCTCCGTAAATCAATTGTATGGCTCGTGCAGATGATTCCCGGTTGTGTCAGCGACACTGACCTCTGTAGTTGGATATTAATGTACCAGACGCTGTGGTGAGCACTATTTAGGAGCCCGAACCTTCAGACAGACTGTTAAAGTGGACCTAGCAGAATATCAAACTAAAAACAATGATGTCCAACTGCAGGAACCTTGGCTTGGGTTCATGTACTGTGGTTAGACCTTTGCTAGATGTCTTTGGGCCTTTGGAACCAGGCTGTAACTACAGGGTCTCGATTCTAAATGCAGGGCCTTGACTTTGGACCGTTGAATGACATGAATATAGCTTAGTTCTCAGCCATGTTCATGTCATTGAATGGTCCAGCATGAAAGCCTTTGCTGGCTGATAAGGATCTGCCTAGCACTGGTAATTGTTAGGGGGGTTTGGTTCCAATGTGGATGGGGTCAGCCAGAATCGATTTCCTCTGTAAAGTGTGGGTTTCATATGTAGAGCTTTCCAGCACCACAAAAGTCCAGCTAAGGATTAACAAATGTACATTGTAGGCAAGTCAAGGGGTCTGCAAATTGATTATAGTTAGGCTCTGGAAATATAACTTTGTAGCTTTCCTCCATTCACATTAAAGGGCTCATTTCTAACATTCATATAACCAGCATGTTCCATACTACCCTTACTAACATTTAAGCTGTGTAAATGATTATTTTCAAAAGTACTTCATGTAAAAGATTTCTTAACATCTCGCTCTTGACCTTCAAGTTACTGAAAAGTGACAAAGACCGGCTCAGAAGATATTGTTTGGTAAAATGGAATGAAGTTGTAGGCTTATCTTTGGTGTTGGCTGAAGGCCAGAAGCAGGAGCTTTGTGTGCAGGAGAGGGTACTTCCTGGGCAGAAAGTACTTTTCTACTCTGTGTTAGCTATGTGTGCCAATAAAAATTACCAAGTGATACAGCCAGTGGTCAATGTATAGCATGCAATTAGATGGATATAAAACTGTAATGCTACCATTACAGTGAAGGGCATACTAGGGGGCAGTATGTGCAGGAGAGAAGTGTTTAAGGTATAAGAAGGGGTGGGAGGAGAAAGATCGGGGAACGTATATGATGGGGCAGTATGTGGAGAAGAGGAGTGCTGAGTATACCAGGGGTCAATTTGTTCAAAAGAGGAGTAGAGGGTATGAAGGTGGGCAATATACTTTGTGGGTCCTTTGACCCACAAAGTATAGCAGGTTTTGAGATAGGTCCGGGAACAGGGGGAGGCTTTGGGGAGATGGGGAATAGGACTTGTTGCTGGGGAAGCAGGAAAAGGGCAGTGGAGGTGAGATGACTTTAGGGGCAGTGTAAATAAGAATGATCTTTGACATGGTGCATAAAATAAATGTGAGGGATTATAGCATATATGCTGGGTTTCTGTCAGTTTTTAAAAGCTTGAAACCACCTGCTGTGTGTTTACATTAGAAAGCTGACGGGCTGCCCAGATCTATTCTCATTAGAAAAGGTCAGATTATCTCCAATGTTCTCAATTTTGAAAATGAATGTATTCACAATCTTCACAATACAATGCCATAGAAAAGGATTTAGAGGACTCTGCTCATGAGAGTTTATAATCTACAAGGACGGGCAAGTGATACAGAAGGTAATAACTGTGAGGGATGAGCCGATTGAGGGAGTAGATGTACAGAAGAGGTGGGATAGGCTTCCCTGAAGAGGTGAGTTGTCAGAGATTGCCTAACTGCAGACAGATTAGGAGATAGTCAAATAGATTGTGACAGGAAGTTCCAGATGATGGGATAGAGCCGGATATGTGGTGATAGGGAGTTCCAGAGGATGGGATAGGCTCTGGAGAAGTCCTGGAGGAAGATAGGTTAACTTTAAGCTTTATACCCTTTTCTTGTACAGTATTTTAAGGCAGCATAGGTTGTGTCACTGAGATGTTCCACAATGCTGAATGACAGCTGGCACTGTTACTTCTGCCTTTGCCAACATTGCCAAGGAAATGGAAAAACAGCACCAAAGTACATACAACTTCTACAGGCCATAAATGTGACAAGATGCAAAATAAATACTCTGCTCATTTACTTAGTACCTGGTGGTTAGTCGGCTGCAAACCCTTCCTAGGACTGAAGATGAGGAGCTGAGCATGCCCTGGGTTATGGAAAGGGGTCATTTTTGAGGGTCTGAGTACAAAATGTACTTTTTGTCAGATAAAAATTCCTTGTTTGCTTTACATTCACACTGTTTTTGTTTTTTTTCATTGTTAAAAAGAACAGTGTCAAACCTCGACTCTTTAACGGCATTTATGTGTTCCAGTGACAGGTCCACTTTAATTACCTCCAATACAACTTTCGGTGTCTTGGAAGGTTTCGAGGCATAATGAGATCTGTTTCTACTCCATCCACTTGGTTCACTGTTTAATTAGAATTAAAGTCTGATTACTGACAGAACTCTCCTGGATGAGAGGCAATTAAATTGGATGCCTGTACCTGCTCCTTGTATTTCAGCAGAAAACATGTGTTTTTTTTTCTTCTTTCGTTCCAGCTACAAGGAGTCTAAGAACAAAGAGCAGATTCAGAAGATGTCTCATTGCAGACAAGATGAGGTAAACGCGGTGACTTATTGTACTTGTGTTGCAGGGAAAGGTTGATGTTTACATGCTCACTTCCTAGGTGCATTCAAAGGTTATCCTGTACTTGACAGATAGGAATAGCCCGGAGTGAGCACAGCAATGGCCACTGCAAACTGAAATGTTCCTTTCATTGTAGTTGGCATAAATCATCTTCACAGCCCCCACATTCTTTCCAATATAAATTATGAAATATCCTTTAGGTAAAGATCTTCTTGCTTTTTGCTTATGGTGTATCACAAGCCGTTCTGTCTCTGCCTTGTTAGTAACATTCAGATTTCATATTAAAGAGAACCAGTTACCACAGAGCTTGTGTGGGGACACTTATGAAGTATAACCTAATTTCATAATAATTTGACTACAGTAGGTGCACTGGGGATGGCAGACTAGAAAAATTCAGGTTTTTCTGATGGATTTTAATGTGCTCGCTGACCATGCAATAAATATCCCTCCAGCATGTTCTAGTTATGCCCCAGGTCCTTCTAAATGCTGTATAAGTCCAAGTTTTTTTCCAAGCTATAAATTCGGGCTGCCAGCAGGATCTTGAGCAGGCTTGCTCTACCCTTGGGTCTTTGTCCTGGGCTGGGCCTGCCTTGAGGTCTTTGTTCCATTCCAGGCTGAGGTCATGCTTCCAAGCTGGGTCTGCCCCCTTGGGGTCTTTGCTCCAGACTAGGTCTGCC